GGTCTGGGCCTCCCTTCTGAAGCTGCTGCCCCCGTGACCTGACCCCGGATAGGTGGAAGAAAATGGATGGATGGATATAGTAAGTTGTTCAAAACGACAAAATACCATGTACTATAGTATGTTGGACATAAATACCATGTAAAGTATTCGGCCTGTCCTGGCACACTCCTTTGGTTCAGCTGTTGAACCAGGTCAGGCCCTTGAGGATAGACTTTGGACACCACTGGACTAAAGTGTTGTACCGAACCGAACTGTGTATTTTCTGTATTGTTGCACTCCTATTATTTGCCTCATAAATGCGATTTGTTTTCTGGCCAAAAACCACATCAGAGTAAAACCAACAGATTTATTTGCAGCTCTGGCTTCAGATACACGGAACGCATCACAAATCATTTCATTCTCATTGTGTCCAACATGCTCTTACAAACACAAACAGGCATCGATAGAAACAGTGAAAACTGAAGGAACAGGTACAAACTGCAGGCATCAGAAAGAATTCACACAAAGATTTCCAAAAATAAAAGCTCTCAGAGGTACTTGGATTAGTTTGATATATCTGGCACAAAACAACACCAGGGCTTGTTTTTTTTTTTTTTTTTTTTTGTCTGTTTCTATCATCAACTTTGAATTTAACATCCAGCAGCTCAGTTTTTACAAAGGATCAGACGTTGAAACAAACAGGTGCACGGTGCAGAAGGTGATGTAGCAAGAAAACTGCAACAAAAATAAAGTCTTAATAAAACCTGATGACTAAGATGTGTTGGAGGGTTAAAGATGGGGAGCAATAAAACCAAACAAACTGAAGATTGTCAGAATTAAAAGGCCCTGGTTTGGTTTGGTTTGGTTTGGTTTGGTTTGTGGACAAGATTTATACAAAGACACAAAAGATGTGAACAGATGTTTTCTTTTTTTAAAGCACAAAATTGGAAACTTGAAAAGTGGATTCAATAAACTTGTTAAAAAAATTCATGTTTTGAAGTTCTAACTGTGAAGCACGGTGGTGGTAGGATCATGGTGTTGGTTAAAGATAAATTAAACCAAATCTAAAGTAATTTTTGGACAGGAAAATGAAAATTTATCGTTCATAAAATATGTCAAATAAATTAAACACTTTCAAAGTCAAAGTCATGAAAACAGCAGATGGAGTTCTGAACTGAAATAAATACAGTCGTATTAAAAAAAATTACAAATAAATCAAACCCCCCCCCCCGGGCATTTAAACCACGTTATTAAAAATTAGCAACTGTAGCTTCAGAGTACGTTTGTTTCAGGTCAAAGTTGTGAAGTTAAACCGGTCAGAAAAGTTTTCTATCAAACTACAGCGAGTTAATAGTTTTAATCAAACCTGGTAAATAAAACTATCAATTAAACATTTTACTGTTTGACCTTCAGCACATAAACTAAACATTCCTCATAACTAGGCTAACTAAAGGCTAACTGAAAGCTAACTGCACACTTTTATGCACAGTTGGATTTGGAAATTAAACAGATTTTAATACTTTTAAAATGCACAGTAATTTTATATAAATGCACATCAGGTACAAAACAAGACCAAATCTAAAGAATTACATTTTTCATGAAAAAAAAAACCTAAACTAAACTAAACATATGCTAGGCTATGTTAGCTTGACATGCTAACATTATGGAATACAAATAAAGATATGGAGAAATCTGAGTTGTGCACCCGAAGTTCTATTTTGATTAAAAAGTTATGAGGAAACTTTAAGCTTCGACAAACCTTTGAGCCAGCGTTGTGTTAGCATCCTGCTAGCATTGAAAAATGAACTGCCGCTGAGAACCGACGCTAAATTTAGCCAATCTATCATTTTTGTTTATAAGGTTCAAAAGAACTCTTATGTTTGGTTGTTGTTCAGTAAAAGTAAACATTTCACTTGAATTTATTTTATCACAAAGTACAAACTTTTCAGACCAACTTAGCTTCTGCTAGCAGGTTAAAAGATAACAATATTAGTTAAATCAGAATAAAGAATAACTATTAATAAATAAATATATATTTAGGTGAATATTTACTGTGCTGATTGGTTTAACAGGCTAAAAGTTTACCTTAAATTTTATTTATTCAGCAGGTAAAACCTTTTAAAACTGATTAGCTAATGTAGCATCCTGCTAGCAGCTGCAAAGGCTAACTGTTTCTACGTTAGCTAATCAGTCTTCACAGATTTTACCTGGTGTTTCATTAAATTTTAGAGTAAATTTATCTGTTTTTGATCAGTTTTAACAGTTTTTATAACTGGATAAATAATCTGTGGATGTTTTAGATCAGTTTTAGTTTTAAAGTGGAGTTTAAAACAGTTTATAAATGTTTTATTAATTCTAAATAGCTTTTTAAACGTCAGTTTGGAGGACTACGACTACTTCATTTTGGCTCGTGGCCTTAAATTAGCCCATAAAGCTAGCTAAAAACAGTTTGCTAAATGACACTAAAATCCTGTTTAGGAACACAGCTGTGGTGCGAGACACAAACACATTTGGCACATGTTCAGCAAATGTCAACAAAACTTTACTTATAAGTGAAAAAACATGGACATGGAGGCCGATACAGGTCCAGCTTCAGACACAGAGAAAACAAAGAAAATGAAAGTAAATTGGTCCCGATCATCGTCAGAGTGATCCTGAAGGAAAAGACTGAATTCACTCAGAAAGCCTGATGATAAACTCTAAATTAAACTTCTGTTTCCTGCTGTGAAGGAAGAAAAAGCTTCAACTCAGAGTTAAAAACTAAAGAACGTGCAGAGTTTAACTTCCAGGCTGTGTGTTGTTTACGAGGCACATTATGTGTCTGACGGGGGACACCGTCCACCTGTCCACGTCCTCCTGAAGGCCGACAGGCTGCTGTACCTGTAGTGTCCACCAGAGGGAGACAGTTCTGTCAGAGAGGCAGACAGGAAGGAATTAAAGAGGAGAGGAAGAAGATGGCTCGTTTCTTTTTTTAAAGGAGTGAAGAGCAGAAACATGCGATCAAAACGGACAGAACTGAGAGACGGACGGAGGACGGAGGACTTCCTCAACAAGCACACTTCTTCTCGTTGGGCTGGGCGTCGCCCAGCTTCGTCGCTCCGTTCCCATTGGCTGAATCTGCGGGCGGCTTGTCAACGCACTGCTCCATCCTCTTCATCACCAGGTCCAGCAGCGTTATCACCGCCTTGTCCACCTCRGCGCCGGTGGCTGCGCTGGTCTCAAAGTACGGGATCCTGCGAGGGACACACTTTCAGATTAAAAGCTTATTTTTACACGACTCTGGTTCCTAAATATATTTCTCCCCGATCATTTCAACAAATTTCTTCAGATGGTTGGGCTTTTTGTTTTTCTTTAAAGTGTCCGTGACGTGCATGTCTTTCAAAAACAAAAAGTTAAAGAAAACATGACCTGTAACTCATGTTTTCTGTTTGAATTTGGCACAGCCATAATGAAACAGGAAATGACATCAAAGGGGAACTTCCTGGTTTTTGTTTATCAAAACATTATTATTTGAACTCTGACTCTTCTTTTCTATGATAGTGAGCCAAAATAATCTAAAGAAACATCAGACTCTTCTCTACAGGCTGTTAGTTATTGTAGCAACGGTTTATTTACGCGCAGACATTCCCCTATGACATCACTTCCTGTTACTTCACATGCAAATATCTCAACAACTGTTCATCTCAGCTGTGTGAAACTTTTATTACAATAAACCAATCAATGTTATCTTTCTGAAAATACATTCATATTTATTACAAAAATTTGATGTCACGGACACTTTAAAGTAAAACCAGGAAATAACTCACTTGTCTGACAGGAAGTCAGGATGTTTTTGCTCTGATTACATCATCTGTAATGTTTGATTTTTATCTCAGAGCCACTAAAAACATCCAACTTAAAAAAGTGCAACGACCTTTAAATCTCAAATCTTTTATTTACAATAAAACACAGAGATCATACAACATGTTGAACTAAGAAACTGTAGCCTTTGTTAAATGTGACGGCCATGTCGTCTTTTTAAATTTGAAAACAATCAGAGGAATGAAAATAAAAACAGCTGCAGGAGAATATTTCCACAACAGGTGAATCTGGAGCCAGTTTTTTTTAAACMATTGAACATAAAAGAATAAAAACTTGCCCGTATTTGTCAGCGAGCTCCTTGGCCTGCTTCTCTTGGACCTCCCTCTGGTCCGCCAGGTCCACCTTGTTCCCCACCAGAACTATGTCAGGGTTCTCACAGTAGGCGTTGGCCTGCAGCTGGCCTGGAGGTCCACAAAGTAATACAATAACAGTTTCACATTTTCATCCAAGTTTCATCAAAATCAAAGCAAAGAACTTGAGATGATAAAAAAACGAATCCTTTTGTCATTTCTTAACAGAAACAGAATATTTAGTGTGTTTGGTCGAACGCACTCATCCAGCTCCTGACGTTCAGGAAGCTCTGCTGGCTGGTGAGGTCGAACATCAGCAGGAACCCCATGGCGTCTCTGAAGAACGCCGTCGTCAGGCTGCGGAACCTGGAACCAAAAAAAAAACAAAAAAAAWTTTAAAACGGACATGTTGGAGACACCATCATCTGTTAGCTGTTAATATAAAACATTCAGCTCATTCAGGAGACGACATGAAAATTTAGTATCTTCTATACAAAATAAAATAAATTTACTTTCTTTAATAATTTCTCCCATCGTACAAAGAAATCAAGATTTTATTTAATCTTTAAAAATGTGTTCTCTTTGAAACTTAATTAAAAAAACTGGATGATTTTTTTAGCTCCTCTAACTTTGTCTTTTAGCTCCTCTCGGCTCACTCTTTAGCTCCTCTCGGCTCGCTCTTTTAGCTCCTCTAGGCTCGCTCTTTTAGCTCCTCTAGGCTCGCTCTTTTAGCTCCTCTCATCTCGCTCTTTTAGCTCCTCTCATCTCGCTCTTTTAGCTCCTCTCATCTCGCTCTTTTAGCTCCTCTCGGCTCGCTCTTTAGCTCCTCTCGGCT